TTCTCTTAATGCAGTCCCATGCAAAGCGTACTGGGATCTACAGATCTATTGCCCAGTTAATTATGTCAACAAAAATGATTGATGTAGTCCAAACAATAAACGATTCAGTAAAGTTACATTTTTACAAAATGTTCAAGTTTATTGCTTCAGATCATTTTAACAAAGTAACTCGAACAAGCAGCAATAACTAAATAAATATTAAAATTAAATATATAATTTTTTTTATGCAATTCCAATAGGGTCCAGAGCTGTTTTAGACATTGTATGACCAAAAACATTCTTCAGAATATCTCCTTTTTGTTTCTTTAAAACAAAGCAAGTCATACAGGTTTCGAACAACATGAGAGTGAGTAAATGCTGACACATGTTTCATTTTTGCCTGAGCTTTCCCTTAAAGACTGTATTTCAGTTTCATGGGGTTACGGGAAGAAGGTTGTTTGGGACGATGGAGACCCCAAGGATCTATGAAATATACAGGCGAAACAAATTCAAAAATGAATGGGTGCAAGTTTTCCATCTCCCTCATCATTTAGCCAAGTAAAAAGCAAACAAGACAGCAGCGACACTACCTGAAAAACATGGTGGGCTTCCACTCCATTGCTTCCTACTGCCTAGTTATCTCAGGTCAGTGAGCTGGAAGGCAATGCGACAGGCCAGGGACAGCACTTTAAAAGCACTGGGACGCAGTGGTGGTGTGTCTGAGCTGGGAGTGTCTTGCAGAGAGCACTACACTGTTAGAAAAGCCCCTCCATTTTAGCAAGTCCCTGCGGACACCCTGATGGACAGACAGAGTGCTTCAGTACATTATGAGGTTCGAGGCACATCAGATACCGCTGCCCGAGGCTAAAGCAACATCCTCCTAACGGCTGAAAATCTTTAGTGATTGGATAACAGCGGTGTGATAATGCTAAGCGACCATTTGAATATACAACAGTAAGAGTCGTTTATAACAGCGGAGAAGTTAAAAGGGGATCATTAGGATTTCAGATGGTTTAGCCTTCGCCTGAAGCAAGCCATAGGTCTTCTCTCATTAATACACGTCTCAAGTGACTCAAGTGCAATATTTCTGTTAGGCAGTTTGTAAATGCACCCTAATGACATTATTATTTCAACATTGACTGTAGTGGGGTTAAGTTACACACAGATCTGCCGCAGTTACAAACGTCTTCGAATGGCCTCCTGCACTTTCATTAGCGCATCTTAAGTGCTTTTCATCATTAAGTGCGTACTTTCCTTTACTTTCATTATTTGGCCTTTTACTGAGAACATGATCTGGTCTAGCTTGACACGAACCGAACGGGTCAGCATGGCGTTCGCATGCTTTATTGCAGAACCGCACGATGAGAATGAACTATCCTCTCCAGGAGCTGAGATACCAATCAGAAAGAAGAAAAAAAAGAGCAGAATGCAGCTCTAGGAGCCAGCGAATCAATACCAACCATCTTAGAAAGGACGGGATGGGGGAGTGAGCGAAAGACTAATGGAGGAAGACAAGCCAGAGGGTGGAAGAGTAAAGAGATTAATGTAAAAGAGGATTTCCCCTGAAAATGAATCAAAGTCAGCCAGTGAAATGGAAGGTCAAAGGTAATGGGATTAATGGACATAATTAACTCAACTCTTTTTAAAATTAACTCTTTTTGAAAGGCAGCAAAAATATCATTGGTTAGTTACCAAGAAACCGTGCTTACCAGGGCATTTATTTAATCATAAACGCTGTATAAAATATACTGTTAAAACAGGAATATTTTTCAAAAATTCTGTGAATCATTGTTTTTTTTCAAGATTCTTTGATGAATAGAAAGTTCAGAAGAACAACATTTATTTGAAGCGATTACATTTTTCATTTTTAAATTAATTTTATGTTTTATTCTTTTTATTATAACATATTTGTGTGATGCATTGCACCATTATTGTAATTTACCAACAAAAAACAACAACTTGCTTTTCTTTCTCACGGATGAATTATTCTATACAAAAATGTAATATTGTTAAATTTAAACTTCTATTTTTTTTCAACAGTTTATGTAGTGATAATGTACTGCTTTTCTGTCACATAACACAAGGTCAGCATACACTGCAATTGTTTTAATATATTTACAGTCAACCAATCACACATATGCACAAAATTTTTTTGCAGTAAAAATAATAGACTACATTACTATGTTGCTTATTTCCATAAACACATTATAATAATGATTCCTGTTACCATATCTCTTACTTGTCATTTCTTATCAACAGCTGACTCTTGCAAGCACGTTTCTTTAGGGTCATCTTTATGTGAGCTACAGCATTAAAGTTAACATGTTGATTAAGAAGTCTGCGCTTTGTTTAATGCGTTGCTCTCCATTTCTTTAACAGGTGTGTCCATGTCTTTTTGTATACCATCTAATTCTTTGCTCTCGTCTCCCATCACCACAGCTTTCCATGATTCCTGATGCAGCTTTTCATTCCTTTCTGTTATCTGGGGTGACGGTGGGACTGTTGCCACCAAAGCAGGAGGAAGATGTCTGAACTCCTCCTCATTTATATCAAAATCCTTCATTTTATGATCAAGCACCCACCAGCATCCCGCAAAGCCCACATCCAGCACGCGTTTTGGCAGTTCTGACCAGGGCACAGAGATCGCCGAGCAGCGCGCCTCATACAGGCTGGACTCGGAGTCATAGTCTGTGTAATAAGTCAAAGATGCGATGCCCAGACTGGCATAGCGCAGCTTGCCCTCGTTTCGCAGTTTCACAAGGGTCTGAACGTGTCCATCTGAGGTGCCACTGCGTATCCATGGAGACAGGAGAGCCAGACGGTTGGAGGTTTCTAGCAGGCTGGTCTCGAAGGAGGCATCATCAGGGTTGGTGTAATAGCAGGCGTACATTCCTCCCAGAAGCCCCAAGTAGACCGAGGCTTTAAGGGGTCGCTCCCGGGCCCCCAGCACTGCCTCACGACAAGCCTCCTTATAATCGCTTAAAAGACTGCGGCACCATACACCTGAAAACAGTGAAGAACTGGCAGATCTTGATTCATGTTCAGCTAATATAATTTTACAATTGCCACATATTGAAAGATGATGCAGTAAGAAAAAAAACTAAAGCAATACGAAATTATATTTTTAATACCACAATAACAGACTAAAAAAAACCGAGTAAGCAAACTAATACGGCTGTATTTCCGTAGACAAATTAACACGCCCTGCACTCAATTCTGATAACAACTAATGTACGCTTGGCTCACGTGACTGACCTCCTAATCGTAATACAAACAGTATTTTTTTATACTTATGTCTGAAGGAAAAAGAATAACCGTGACTTAGTCTTACCTGCGCGACTGTTTACCAGTCTTTGCCACTTTGTGCCCTTGGTTGTCTCTGTAGCTGCTGTGGAGCACCATCTCTTCAGCAGCCACGAGGCGGCCATGTTAGCAAATGAACTCACGAAGTGTGAGAGTTCACAGTTCACGGTGAAAGAAGCACAGGAAAAGCTTCCAGCCGACAGTTTCCAACATTGGCTCAACGTAACAACGGAGGCTGGTGAAACTACTGAGCCAAAATGGCGTAGAGCACGGTACGTGTAATGTTATTGGTCCGGTAAGGAAACAAAATATTGCCTTTTCGGTTCCACCACGCATTCTGATGAGCTATGTCACTGAAACAGGACACAGATAATGTTTTTAAAGTTTTTATTTCAAACAAAAAAGAGAGGTCTGCAGATCTTGATTCATGTTCAGCTAATATAATTTTACAATTGCCACATATTGTATGAAAGATGATGCAGTAAGAAAAAAAACTAAAGCAATACGAAATTATATTTTTAATACCACAATAACAGACTAAAAAAAAACCGAGTTAGCAAACTAATACGGCTGTATTTCCGTAGACAAATTAACACGCCCTGCACTCAATTCTGATAACAACTAATGTACGCTTGGCTCACGTGACTGACCTCCTAATCGTAATACAAACAGTATTTTTTTATACTTATGTCTGAAGGAAAAAGAATAACCGTGACTTAGTCTTACCTGCGCGACTGTTTACCAGTCTTTGCCACTTTGTGCCCTTGGTTGTCTCTGTAGCTGCTGTGGAGCACCATCTCTTCAGCAGCCACGAGGCGGCCATGTTAGCAAATGAACTCACGAAGTGTGAGAGTTCACAGTTCACGGTGAAAGAAGCACAGGAAAAGCTTCCAGCCGACAGTTTCCAACATTGGCTCAACGTAACAACGGAGGCTGGTGAAACTACTGAGCCAAAATGGCGTAGAGCACGGTACGTGTAATGTTATTGGTCCGGTAAGGAAACAAAATATTGCCTTTTCGGTTCCACCACGCATTCTGATGAGCTATGTCACTGAAACAGGACACAGATAATGTTTTTAAAGTTTTTATTTCAAACAAAAAAGAGAGGTCTGGAATTATTTGTATCAAATATTTGGATCTGTGAATGTGGAATTTGGCAAGCAAACATTCTTATTCGCGGAGAACTTTTGACAATATCACATGCGTATGTATTAATAAATATGACTGTAGAATATATGAAACTATAAGATAACAGTCAAGAAATTGTTTTATCAAAGTAGCCTACTTACAACAACTAAAATAAGAACGATACAGAGGGTCTTTTACTTCACTTTTAGTCATTTAGCAGACGCTTTTATCCAAAGCGACTTACAAATACGAAAAAGTAATTAAAACTAAAAGGTAAAACTCTATAAATATATACATATATACACACACATTTAAGAAAATAAAAGATATTAAATAAAAACGACAAATGCATACAACAACATTTCAAAACTAAACATTTAAATGAAAACAAAATAAAGCTAAAACAATTTTTTTTTAAAAGAGAAGAAAAAAAAAACGTTTGTCTTGGATATAACACAACCTGCCTTGCTGATACTTACCTTTAAGCCATCAATACTCGAAAAAATAGATAGGTAAAACAGGTAAAAACGTACCAGTTTTAGTTCCGGTCACGTGATTGTGTTTTGACGCAGCGGAGCCCTGCAGGTGACGTGGAATATGGGGACGAGAACGCCTGATCGCTGTGTGTGTCGAGACCGTATCAAACCTACTCTAGCTACAGTCGATTAGGCTAATGATCTGCTATATCTCAGCTCGCCACAATATACGATTAAATACCATCCGGCCGGACGAAGCAATTGTTTTCGTACCTGCTAGCTCGAAACAAGCTTGGTTGTCGAAGTTGTCAGGATTGGCGCAGGATTACCTTATTGTAGCAGCCAGGTGAGCGAATCAGTCTAAATATGATTTTGGTGGTGACAGCTGTCGTAGGATTATATTATCTTTGTTGTCTTCTTCCCGCGCAGATAGTATCCTGTGATCTCCAGTCATGGCTAGTCCAGATGATTTAACGTTTCAGGGTAAGGTTTATGTAGGTCTTCTGTGTTCTTTCTTGTTTGGTCTCGTTCTTGTCTTTCTGCTTTAATACTCATTCTGCACGTTTCCAGAGTTTGAGGAGGCCGCAGATCTGCTGTCTTCAAATCCTGGAGCCTCCACCCTCAGCATCTCCAGCCCCGGCGCAGCAGCCTTCTCTGGAGATGTCAAAGTCGACCTGTCAGACGACGAAGACCATCAGCAAGAGAGTTCAGAGGTGAGCTGCAAAACCAAACAGGCAACTGAGGCTACAAAAAGCGGATTATTTCACATGCATCTTAGTTTAGGGGTCACTAGTATTAACCATTTTCTTTGAATCTCCCCACAGTTGCTTGGGGGTGAAAAACAAACTGGTGGTTTTTGGACGTTTGAGTACTATCAGTCATTCTTCAACGTAGATACAATGCAGGTACATTTGTTTTCTTTATTACCCCCATATTATGTTACGAATCTTGGTGCAATCACTATGTGTAATTGGATTCGGTATAATTCACCCCAGTCACTATGAAAACAAAACAAACGAACAGGTAAAAACAGTGAACTAATAATTCCCACACATTACCATGAAATAAACAACATTTTTTTTAACAAACTGTACATTTGATAAAAGTTATTTTATTATTTTTTTTAAAAGCATTTCAATATTTTTAACCAGGGGTGCCAAACTCAGTTCCTGGAGGGCTGCAGCCCTGCAGAGTTTAGTTCCAACCCTGCTCCAACACACAAACCATGTCGTTTTCAGATTAGCCTGAAGGACGTGATTAGCTGGATCAAGTGTGTTTAATTCGGGTTGGAGCTAAACTCTGCAGGGCTGTGGCCCTCTAGGAATTGAGTTTGACACCCCTGTTTTAAACAAAGAGGTTTGTAAAAAACACTTATTCTTTGAGCTTTCCTAAAGCATGTAGCTTGCAACGCGAAGGTCATGGGTTCGATTCCCAGCAAAATTTCCATGCATGAACTGACAAAAATATATGCTGTCAACTCAGTGTAAATTTCTTAAGACAAAAGTACTTTTAAGCTTTATCTCACGTCTTGGTAAATTGAAACTAATTACAAATATTTTAATGGGAGATCCTGGTTGCTTGGTCATTTAACTACTTGGAACTACCACATTTAAATTAAAGCATCAACAACTCTAGTGCCCTAGTAATTGCATGCACGGTTATCTTTATTATTGTAGGTGCTGGACAGGATAAAGGGCTCAGTCATGCCTTTCCCAGGCCGGAATTTCGTCAAACACCACATTCGAAATAACCCTGATCTCTATGGTAATGTAGATATTATTTTTTAATCTCGCAGAACACCTCTTAGCACAGCCAAACAATGTCTTTATATTTGAATGAATCTGGATTATCACAAAACTGTCAGACATTTTAGTTTTTGTTATCCTTCCTCTTGTCAGGTCCTTTCTGGATCTGTGTGACTCTAGTGTTCTCAGTGGCCATCAGTGGAGACCTCTACACATTTCTGAGTAATATGGGAGACCCAGGGTTTCACGACAGACCTCAATTCAACAAAGGTGAGACCGCAGTAGGCATGGACATTTGTGGAGAATGATTCTTTTAGAACCTTAAGAGTAATTGGAGCTAATAATATACTTCACAAATACAAAAGAACAACTTTTCGGTTATATATATTTACTTTAGTCATATAAATGTTTCGTATAAATATTATATGAACAACCAATCAGATTTGAGGTTCAGTGAATCTAAAGCTCAACCACTGATTTAAACCAACAACTCATAGATTCAAGATTTGAGTCTTTTATTAATTAAAAGAACATGTTTATGCTAGTCCCTTATGAATATGCTTAATGAAGATTTTGTTCCGTTTTAGTCTCGATCGCAGCCGTCACTGTGTTCCTTTATGCATGGCTGGTGCCTCTAGGAGTTTGGGGCTTCCTAACGTGGCGTCAAAGTGTTGAGAGACACATCAGCGGTTACACGTTTTTAGAGACTGTGTGTGTCTATGGTTATTCTCTTTTCATTTATATCCCTGCCTCGGTAAGTTTGAGATGATGTTCAAGACACGGTCAGACTTCATGAAGTTAGACCTGATAAGTCATACTCGGTGTCTGTTTTCAGATATTATTAACCATTCCCGTCTACTGGCTCGAGTGGCTATTGATTGTCATTGCCATGGTGATCTCGGGCTCAGTGTTGGTAATGACGTTCTGGCCGGCTGTTCGCGATGACACGAGACTAACAGCATTCGCTACCATGACAGTAATAGTGTCACTTCATGCCCTTCTGGCTGTTGGCTTTAAGGTGAGAGAGACTCTTCAAAGGACTATTCCAAATCAAATACACCTTAAACGCTATCTGCTATGCTGTTAATAACCACAGAAAATCATTTTGACTCCTCTTTGAGCTATGAAACTCTTTTTAGGAGCAATTATTGGTTATGTGTTACCATAATTCCTGTAATCTTTCTGTGAATTCAAAGCACAAGTAGTAGGGTTGTGCAATTAATTGCATCTCGTCAGTAAAGCCGGTTCAGCTTTACTGACAAGATGCGCATGAAAATCGCATGCGATTAATTGCACAGCCTTAACAAGTAGCTTTGGTTACTTTTATAGCTGGTTATGGCATGTTAAGAGATTGGATATTACTTTGCACAGACACCGCTGGCAAGTGTTCATTTTCACACCAGTCTTACGTGAACACATTTAATTGTAACCAGTTTGATATTACAGCAAATAAACGTTTCAAGATAGTTTATTTTCACAAGCCAGAGGATGAGTTCATATTAAATTATGTGGTAATTGAGAACAACAGATAGTGCCTAAAAGTGATTTATAAAGTTATATGCACTACCATTGAAAAGTTTGGGGTCAGCGCGCGTATTTATGATTTCTTTAGGATCATGTGACACTGAAAACTGATCAAATGATGCTTAAAATTCAGCTTTGTCATCGCAGGAATAAATTACATTTTTAAATATTTAATAATAGAAAACAGGAATTTTAAATTGTAATATTTCACAAATACTGTTTTTACTGTATTTTTTATAAATAATACTGACCCCAACTATTTGAACGATAGTGTATCCTGTACAAAGGACTGAAATAAATAACTTAAGCATTACCTCCGCTTCCAGCTGCACATGCAGTTTGATTGGCCATTTCTTCTGGTAAAATGACACCCTCCATTAAAACACACTCAGCTTTACCATTTAATACATTTCCATCTCTCGTTTAGCTCTACTTCTTCAAAACGCCAACAAACACAGGATCATCGCACTCCGGACAACAGACTACCCCAGCTGCAAATCACACAACACTTGCTGTGGGAAAGCATCAATGACCAACTGAATGGGAACCTAGGAGACTTAATATTCAAAGGACATGACAAATGTGTAGTAATTATGATAACTGAGCAATGGAGTTCAGATTAGTGTGCTGATGCTTGATGCACACAAGCATTCCCAGCAAACACATTGAAAGTGTTTCCAGTTTGTAACTAACCCAGCAGATAAAATAACCTCCCTCAGATCACAAGTAAAATCACAGCGACTTACTGATGACTTTAGCTTGTAATATTTCATGTTCAACATAAAGAATCTCACAGGTTTGGAACGACATGAGGCTGAGTAAACGATGACATTTTTGGGTAAACTATCCCTTTTAAGACGCATCCGCTTTGCCATCTATAACCCATCCAGGGGTGCATTTCCAAAAAGCAAAAACGCACCCCAGATCATACGACTTCTCAAACCACCAAGTTTGATTTTATAACCCCACCCGTGTCATCCATGAACAACAAAATAAATGTTACTATAAGCTGCCACACTTGGGGACTTCTCCACCAACATTTAATTTGCTCCTCTTTTTTTTTTGTCTGTTGCTTTTTTTTTTTTGAAAGAAAACAAAAACAAAACAAAAAGTTAATTCTACAAACTAGCAGATAAGGTTCTTTTCATCTCATGATCTCATGAAAGTTGCTAAATCAAACTGAATTAACTGAAAAAAAAAGTGTCTGGAAGCGGTGCATACGACTTCAAAGTCTTGGATGAGGCTATCATCATATCATATCCCCGCTGTGGGAGAGGGAGGAGAGAGAGAGGGGAGGAAAATTATAGCTAGTCAGGCATCACTTGATCTCCTCCTTTCCTCAACAGGTCTCACAACACACAGAAGTCGACAAGATAAGGGTTCGGGGGATGTAAACTAGGATACTGCAATTCCTGCTGCAGCGGTCAGTGTGTGTCCACGGACCTCACTGTTTATGTCGTTCATCCATCGGTCTTCCTCCCCCCAGTGCCGACTGTCCTTCCCAGCACTCCGCCGTCCTCCTTGTCTGATAATGGAGGGTTTTGGTGCTGGTATTCCTATTCCTAAAACCTTTGTGTCCTTATAATTGACTAACAATGAATCCTCCAATTTACAAGTCAGATTTGCGTCGATATGGAGTCGGAGGTTGACAGAAGCAGTCTCGATAATCCATACTCAGGATTCACCTCAGGGAACACCAAGCGACACATAAATCTGGGACTGCACTACATTAAAACACAGAAATGGAATGAAAGTAAAACGATCTCTATCTACACTATGGTTGTCTACAGGCAGGATCCAGCAGTACTGCGCTAGTAGTCGTAATGAACTTTGTGAGCATGTGTCTGTTTCTTCTGGCGAGTGCGAACGTCTTGGTGAGTCGAGATGGCCGTCAGAAGCCCATGCTGAGAAAATCGAGATGCAATAGCCTGAATGCCTGCGCACATTAACGTTATAGGGCCACGGGACGGATATGTAAGAATAAAACACCAGTGAGAGAAACAGAGTTTAGAATATATATATATATATATATACATACGTATACATGTATATCTATATATAGAGAGAGCGAGAGAGAGAGAGAGAGAGGCTATAAAGTGATGGTCAGAGACTGGTGCATTGGTTTTGGTATTCTGAATTTGGCTGCGGTCAGTTTGCAGGGGTTGGGTTGGGGGGTAGGGGGTAAATGGACATGCAGAGGCCGTCCCTTGGGCTTAGCTCCCGTAGTGCATGGTGTTGCTGGGGATGGCCATAGGAGATGCCATGGAGATAGCCGGGCCGCCCATGGTGAACTGGTTGGTGACTGGGTAATATGGACTGCTGCTGCTAGGACCCTGCTGGGCAGTTGTGGCCCCTGAGAGGAGAGAAAAAGCAACATTACATCCTTTGTATTTGTGAGCGTGTGGTTTCTCAGATGTTCAAAGTATGCTTCGGTTTTTATGTGTAAGCGGTGTTACTCGTGTAGTGTGAGAGACAAATTTTTGGTACTAGTTTGTTTTCAAAGTGGAAACTTCCTAGTGTGCATGTGTTGAGTGCCTGTGTTTACATACAATCAAAGGGAGTATATTTTGAAAGGCTGTATGTGCATGTTAAGTGTTCGTGTGACCACTAAAGTATACAATCACCATTGGGGGATGTTCAAAACTACTGTTTATTAAGTAGTCAACAAATCAGTACAGTAGTCAAAGAATATGTATAATTATCCTAGTTTCAGGTTAATTTCAACCGGATCAGCTTTACGTAAGATGCTTTAAAAACTAACTGGAGAGACTAGAAGAGAACAAAAGTTTTTTTAATAATTTTTTTTTATGTAACATGCCATCTAGAAAATACAACACTCATGGTTTGAGACTAAGTACAATGAGACTATTCACACAGTAGCGGCTAAAGATATCAATCTGCAGGCACTCAGCACACTGTAAAGGCTTATTCAAATCACAGCAAGCACAAATGTTCAGTGCAGTATTAAATAATGGACACCTTCACACTTAAAACCACTCTTTTACTGATATTATGAGTTTACTGGGTCTACTCCGTATGGACAGAGAAAATAAAATGGGAAATTCTGTCATCATTTTCACCAGTTATTCTAAAACCCATAGATCTCGTTCATCTTCAGAACACAAATTAAGTTTTTTTTATATTCTCTCATCATCACAGAAACTCAAATCATTCTAAAACCCATAGATCTCGTTCATCTTCAGAACACAAATTAAGTTTTTTTTATATTCTCTCATCATCACAGAAACTCAAATCAGACTTGCTTGACACATGAGAACCAAATATGTTTGTTCTTGCACATCAAGCAAGCACAATTTGAGCTTCTGTTTAATGTGCGCTGATTAGTATTTATAGATGAATAAAAGCTTTTACAAAAAGTTTATTAATGTCCATGTAATTTTGGTAACACTTCAGTATAGGGATCAATTCTCACTATTAACTAGATGCTTATTAGCATGCCTAATATTAACACATTGGCTGTTTATTAGCATTTATGAAGCACATATTCTGCATGACCATATTCTATATCCCTAATACATAAACTTAAGAACTACCTTACTAACTATTAATAAGCAGCAAATTAGGAGTTTATTGATGAAGAAGTCATAGTTAATAGTTTGCTAATAGCAAGAATTGGACCTTAAAATAAAGTGTGACTAATTTTTTATGCATGAAAGTTTTGGAAAGTGTGGAATTTCAATGTCTGGATGAAAATGATGAGAGAATATGAAATATATCTTCATTTGTGTTCTGAAGATAAACAAAAGTCATATTTTTCCATTTGATACAACATGAGGGAGAGCAAATAATTACAGAATTTAAATTTTTGGGAGAAATATTAATTTATCTGTAGGAGCTCAAATCTGGTTTTACTCCGTAAGAGCAGAGCCACTCACCCTGGACGATTCCGGTGCTCATTATAGAACCCATTCTGGAGTGAGTGTGATTCACAATCCCTGTGTTCACTGGAGGGGAAAAAAGACATCTCTTTTCAATTTACACAAGAATAAAATGTGATATACATGAAACACATGAATATTTGACATGAAGCTAAAGGAGAAAGGCTGTGATATAGATAATCTTAAACTGTAGTACTGTTGTATAGAAAACCTCTCAATAACAATGATTAATTGTACTATAAAGAGTATTAAAATAAGTATGGTTATTGCTTATTATAGCGGTCATATCATACACTCTATTTTTCCCTGAGGTACAATTATAAAGTGATGTTTTTTGCACCAAGTAGTCATTGTTTTGACTATTTGGACTGGGGACTGGTGTTTTCATAACAATAATCTCTTATCTCAAGTGATCAAGTGAAAGATTTGATCCTTCATGATATGGCCTTTAAATATAATACACTTTTTTTTTTTTAAATGAATCTCAGCCTTTTGTTCTTAAAGTGATAGTTCATTTTTAAAATAACGCAATACCGGTGTAAGTTGTTTAAACAACGTTCGGAACGCGACACTGTTTGAAAGGGGTCCTTTTTCACTGTTTCACTGTGTTGAGGGAACAGCTGTATGTTGTTACCAAGCGTGAAAGTTCCGAAACTGAAGCTGTAGAACTAATAGAACGTGATGACACAGAAGAACTCAGCCACAATATCCACATTGACCACCACAAATATCCACCGCCCCCTGCCATCAGCTCCCGCGTCTCTCTACTGTATATTTCACTGATTTGGCCATCAGGATCCTGATATCAAACGTGTCCTGAAAAAAAAAAATCACAGAATACGTTAGGTAAAGGTAGGATATCAAAGCTCCGTCCTACATGCAGAAGAGGATGAAGCATTCTGAATAAAGCAAACTGATGTGCTGTGAGGCCTCTTGTCAAGGGCTGAGCCACAGTAAATCAGACTCCGTCCTAGCTCAGAGGGCTCACCCGCCTCGGCCTGAACTCTAAAGGGTGCTATAACAGCGCCCCCTGGAGCCAGACCACAGCAGGTC